CCTGTATTTGTAATTCTTGCTTGCACTTAAAGTCACAATTGTAGCATGGCCGGGAACCACACTAGTGGATCTTGAGGGGTGCCTAACACCTTCCCCTCGAGATAATTTCAAGCTCTTACCCAATCTCTGGTTTTCTAAATCAAATTTCTTTTTAGTGTCCTAATGCACTTAATCATTAGGTGGCGACTCTTCAAAATCGCAAACCCAATTCCCAAAAGAAAAAGGAGTTGTCCGCCCAAATGTCATAAATCCGATTTCGCGAGAAAAAGGGGGCTTCGACAATGATCTATTTAATGGCCTCATTATTCTTTAATAACTACTGTATTTAACTGTATTCAGATGTTTTTAAAAAGATCTCATTATTTGTAAATAACAGATATATTTAACTGAATCTGTGTGATGTATTTAACTGAGTTTTCACTTATCATATTCAGTTTCTTTTTCTTAATTTGATTCATTGTACTAACACTATGTAATTAAATTTGTGTATAGCATATTGACGTCATATTCTACTATCTGAGAAAGAAGGGAAAGTACAATCAAACAACCAACTTCAAGTATACAACTGTTGATTGTATATTCAAGACAAGAATAGCAGAAATCTTCGACAGGTATGCTGATACATATAGTAATGCAAATGTAGCCAAAGAAGATGATGTGGTATGTGAGTACATAAGAGGCTACAAATTTGAAGTGATTCATCTATTTGCATATATCGCCTTGAATTAAACTACCACCGGATACAAGTTCTTTTTCAATCATTGTTATGCACAAAGGATACATCCCGAATTTTGTGTTCTCTTTTTTCAACTCTACATACACCCTGTAACCCATGTCATTGTGTATTTCCATTGGCGTGCTATTCCCTTCTACCTTGTATTGAATTTTAATGGACTTTGAGCTCAAATCTATGCCCAGTTAATTAGAAATTGACGCAACCAAATCATTATACGACGGATACTCCTTTATCTATATTCCCTCAATTGAATAATCGACGTAATTGCTCTCACCGTTCCATTTGCCAGAATGACGCAACAACACTGTTAAAATTGCCATATGTATAATGGAATTATACAGTATTTTGTATTCAATTGTATCAATTGCACTTTTTCGTGGTTGAAAAGAGAACTGGGTACAGAAAAAAGGGAGAACTGAAAATCCAGATGTTGCTCTAGTTTTTGCTATTTTTCTTTTTGAATCGTGAATGGAAGAATACAGATTTATGGGCAATAGTTTGTGTTAGTTGAGTTAAATTAAGAGAATATCAGGTGAATTGATTTCCTTTCCGTTTTAAACAAGTTCAACCTTCCATATTTTATGCGAAATACGTTACTGTATTCACGATAAGGCCGCGTGAATACATTTGAATACATCTCAATCTTAGCTAGAAGTCCCTGATTCACGCATATTTTTGCTATTGTATTAATGAATACAATAGCTTAAATACATCAAATACATCTTATAACCACATAAAATGTATCTATAATTCGTAATATAGCAAAAGGTATCTATAAATGGCTAATTACACCTAAAAGATAGTGCTTTATGAAAATTTCTCATTTTCATATAATGTTATCTCAATAACACATTAGATATTGACAATTTTCTCTAGGATACTTTTTCCCTGCTTATGTGTTTTAAGTAATATCGTAACTTTACTATGAACTCAAATTATGTTTTTTTTGTTTTCACCGGGCCACATCACTACTTGAATCTTTACTTGAATCTTGAGAGTACTTCTCCCAAATTCAACAAGTTTTTGAAACATCAGACAGTAGGGAACCATAGTCATTCTGCAATGACTTTTGTATATCTTGTTGAACAAATTTATCATTCTTTTATTAGTGCGATAACTTATCATTGCCCACACTATTTTAATTTTAAGTGGTCTTGGTGTTTCGGTTATGGCTAAGTAAACATTGTATGTTTAAAAATATATCAGCTATATATATATATATCAAAAAATAGTGTTAATGCCAGAGAATGCAGTACACACTTTGTAGTTGCTCCATTTGTTGATTGAATTTCACACTCATATATGATTTTCAAGGAGTTATCAGTTGGTGAGCGTGTAACAAAACAATTTAGCTTTATTTATGTTGGCTCAATTACTGAATTCTTGTAAAATAATGAGATTTTTACACAAATAACCTATCATATTTACTGTTTATTTTTTGATATATATANTATATATATATATATATATATATATATATATATATATGTTCGGTATGCAGTGGCTACCATAGTCATTTGTTGTAATTTGGCCAGAATATTGTATTCAGAACAACCATGTATGTTCCATTCATAGATATTGGCATTATAGTTGTTTTGCATAACATTGGGTCTTTCTTCTAAGGATATATATATATATATATATATATATATATATATATATATATATATATATATATATATATATATATATATATATATATATTGTTAATTATTTATATTTTATATATCATCACAAAATCGGTTACAAACTTCCTCTAGAATCAGCAGTTTGGACAAAGAGATCCCAAACTTGCTGTATACTATCTCTATCAACCTCGTCTACAGAGCTCTAGTTTCTAAGGATAAAAATTCAAATCTTTCATATATCTATCCAATCTACTAACTTTTCGAGCTCTCACATGGATTTCTCTTATCATTTGCTTGACTATTTGATCTGCAGATCTGCTGCTTTCTTTGAAAATTCTTGCATTCCTTTCCTGCCATACATGATACACTCCACTAGCTAGTGTCATCCTGTATACCTCCTGTTTAGTAGTCTTCCCTGTAGCATTTTCTATAGCCCATTGTACTTCATGTTTCCAGTTCCACACTTCTCTCTTTATGCCTTGCCAAGTTAGGAGCTTTGACCATACCTGTTTAGCATACATGCACTCAAATAGTAGATGGTCGATATCTTCATTTTCTTGCTTGCGCACACAGTCCATATCCTCTAGATTAGCCCAGCATGCTATCCTCTCCTTAGTTTGTAGTCTTCTATGAAGAGCCAAGTATAAGATGAATGTCCATTTAGGATGGTCGTTGTTGTTGCAGACCATTCTTCTCCAAGGAACTTTCTGAAATTCTCCACGATAGGCTCCATATATATCCTTTATTGAGTATTTAGTCATAGCAGCTACATCTGTTTCATGGAGGCCTATTTTTTCAAACATGCTTTTTGCTTTAAGAATCTTCTGTACCACCCATGAAGCTTGGGTAGTCTTAGTCTCTCATACATTCCCTGTCTTGGTATAGTAATAAGAGGGAGAGATAGTTTCTTGTTAGCAAGAGGAATGCCAAGGTATTTGAATGGTAACTCTCCTATTGTGTAGCCCAACTTCTGAATAATTTCCACCTTAGTACTCTGTTGTACTCCTCCAAAATACACTGAGCTCTTTTTCAAATTTGCCTGTAAGCCAGATGCTTGAGAGAAATGATTGAAGCATTCTTGAATATGAGAGACAGAGTTAAGGTCACCCCTAGCAAATATCAGGAGATCATCTGCATAGCTTAGGTGGGTAATCCCTAACTTTGCACACCTTGGGTGGAACTTAAAATCTTTCACCTCTTTCAAATTGTTGAGCCTTCTACTGAGATACTCCATCACAATTGCAAACAAGAAAGGGGAAATAGGATCACCTTGTCTTACGCCTTTAGCAGCATCAAAAGGAGGAGTAGGTTCTCCATTAACCATAATAGTGTAGTTGACAGTTGTCACACATTCCATTATCCAGCTCATAAATCTTCCTGGGAATCCCATTTCAATCATGATTTGCTCTAAGAAACTCCATTCCAGTGAGTCATAGGCTTTTTTGAAGATCAATCTTGATCATGCATCTGGCAGAAATATTCTTCCTTGTGTAAGCTTTGACTAGCTCATGAGCTAATATAATGTTGTCTGCTATCCTCCTTCCAGGTATGAAACCAGACTGAGCTTCACTTATCACTGATGCTATCACTTATTGGATTCTACCAGCTAGGACTTTAGAGATTAGTTTATACAACATGGTGCAACAGGCAATTGGTCTGTAATCTTTTATTGTGCTAGGATTGGCCATTTTAGGGACCAGTGTGATAGAAGTACAATTCACTGCTTTGTACAATTTCCCAGTACTGAAGAACTCTTTAACAGCTTGATTAACTTCATTTTTGATAATCACCCATGCCTTCTTGAAGAAATAAGCATTGTAGCCATCAATTCCCGGTGCTTTGTCACTGTCAATAGCACATAAGCAATTATATATCTCTTTGTCAGTCACCTCAGCACATAGAGCAAGTTTCTGCAGTTGTGATAGTTTTGGCCCATTCTTCATAATCCTTTTGTCTATGGCAGGCAGAGATTGAGCTGCTGATCCCATTGGAGATTTATAGAAATCTACCACTTCATGCTTTATGCTGTCGGGGTGTATAAGTTTATCTCCCATGGTTGATATAAGTTCATTTACTTGTTTTCTTTGACTCCTTTGCTTCACAACAGCTGAAAAATAATTTGTATTGGAGTCTCCCAATTTGATCCACTTAGTTCTTGCTTTCTGCCTTAGAACACTTTCTTCAATGAGGGACCATTTTTCCAAGTTCTGTAACAAGATTTTCTCTTCTTCAATCAGAGTGTCATTACATGCTGTATTTATCTTCTTCTGCACCTCCTCTAAGTTTGTTCTAGTTTGTTCAATCTTCATACTAATGGTTCTATAGTGCTCAGTGTTTGGGATCCTGAACAAAGGTCTTAACCTCTTCAGCTTTATCCAGATGTTCTTCATTTTTTCCTCATTGAAAGATTGGTTCCAGATACTTCCAATAATAGACATAAAGCTTTCATGATCTGCCCAGACATTAAAGAATCTAAAAGGTGTTTTACCAGATTTGGGAGCTGAGTGAAGAGTTAATATCATTGGACTATGATCAGATATGAATGGCAATCCACACTCCATAGTCACATGACCCTACTGCATCATCCACTCATAATTACCAAAAGCTCTGTCAATTCTGCTGCTGATTCTTTCTACTCAATGTTGTTTATTAGACCATGTATAATAATCACCTGTCCATGCTAGTTCATTCAGAGCTAGATTAGCTACACAGTCAGCAAAGTCCTGCACTTCTATATATGTAATGGGGTTGCCCATCAGCCTGTCATTAGTATAGAGGACTGCATTGAAATCCCCACATATTTTTGTGTCTCCTGCTGCAATGTCCTTAAGACCACTCCATAATAGCTTCCTTTGCTCAATGGTATTGTAACCATATATAGCTGTAACTGCACAATCAATTATTCCCACCCTATCTTGAACCAAACAGTGTATGAATTGAGCTGCAACACTCAAAATAGTAACATTATACCACTGAGAGTCCCAAGTAAACCATATCCTCCCATTTGAAGCATCCTGATAGTTGGTAGCATAGTTCCACCCTACAGTATTCTTGACATGATTTTATTGGCATTATGTTCCTTAACTCTTGTTTCCACTATAACTGCTAGCTTTATTCTTTGCCTACTAATATATTTTTTTAACTCTTTTTGTTTATACCTCTTATTTACCCCTCTTATATTCCAAAATAACCACTTCATCAGCAAGTTAGTCTACCTCTACCTTTATCAGGAGGTACACTACTAGTACACCATGATCCCTTATTCAATGGTCCAAAGGAATTCCTCATAGCAATGGGTGACAGAGCTGGAAAGTCTATCATATCCAGTTCAAACATGTCCTCTATAGCTTTGCCTTTGTCCATTAATTGTTCTACTTTACTCTGTTGCTGGGAGGCTGTCTGTATGTGATCCTGCTGGGCATTTTCCTGATCCACCATTGGCTGAATATTCTCCTTGTCTGCAACTTCTCTTTGACTAAGTATCTGAGCTTCCTTCTGCTGTAGGCTAGCTTCCCCTGCTGAATTCACCCCTTCTTTCACTGGGTCTTTGGTTCTCCATTCCATTGTTACTTTCTTTGCTTCTCTTCTTTTTCCTTGTTGTTTATCTTGTTGCTTGTATTGTTGTTGTTCCATACCACATCTATGTCCAACCACTAAACATTTCTGGCAAAATTCTGGTTTCCAATCATATCTAACATCTTGTTGGAATGTCTTCCCATTAGGATCCATTACCTTTATCTCCATAGGCAATTCTCTGGTAATATTTACTTCTATCAACATCCTTGCAAATGATACTCTCTTTTTCTTTGCAGTACATTCATCTGCATAAATTGGAGTACCTATTGCACTAGCCATTCTACTCAAAGAGTTGTGACCCCAGCAATTCATTGGAAGATTAGGAAATTGTACCCATAAAGGAATTTCAGTGGGAAATTCCTACTTAAAATCAAATTCTAGTGTCCACTGTTTCAATATGATAGGCCTATTGTTGAAAGAGTAGGGTCCAGAATAGAGAATTTCTTTCATATCATCAATAGTTTGGAATTTGATGATATAGTACCCTTCCTCATGTAGATATAAATCCGGCTCCACCACATTTGCCCAATTTATCCCAATGAACCTTTTCATAGCATTATAACCTGGAGAATCCCCAATTATATATGCAATTACCGCACTCCTCCACTTCTCTGTTTCCAGATCTACCTCCATTTTGTCTAATTGAACCACAACTTGGCCATCTATAATTTGTGGTGGTATGTAAGTTAAGGACATACCATTTTCTGCTGCTCGATTCCCCCGGAATAGATTTGTCCATGCTTTTCCTTGCTTATGAGTTGCTTCTGTAGGCTGATTATCTCCCATTGGCATTACTTCACCTGCTGCATGTATTGTTGACACTGTTCCATTGCTTGAGCCAGGGATCTCCTTGTTTGCATGTTGGATCTGCACCTCTCAGAGCTACTGGCTATCCCCGGAGTATTCAGATCAAGCCTTTTCTTCGCTTTTGTCATTAAAGATTCAGCTGCACAGCTTGTACCTTGTTCAACCACTGGTGTAGCTACTTTATCCTGCGAAATTTCTACAGCTTGAGTTCGAATTCCCATAGAGCTACTAGAGATAGCTATGGGGTTCTTCCTGGGCCATCCTCGACCCCGTCCACGTCCCTTACCTCTACCATTCGCCATGGAAACATCAAGCAGCGCACGTTAGCTATCGTGCGTCGAGAGCATGAGCGAAGAGAGAGAAATTTTATAAACCTTTCTGATCTTTTCGAACTGCTCCTTTACTAAAGTAGTGTGGCAAAAGGTACTACAATGGATGCAAAGGCAAGAAGTAATTGGTGATAACTGGGGGCAACATCAAGAATGGATAACATAGAGAACTAAGGGCAGATCCTATGGAGCACAATTATACAAAATGGTTTATGCAGAGGTTACACATGGTGTCTGGATTGAAAGGAACATGAGAATATTTCAACAGAGAAGCAGAAGTGTTGATAGCATAGCTAGAGAAATAGCCTACATATGTAATGTGAGAGCTACAAAAGGAATTAGTAGTTTAGTTCAGCATTTTATATTTCATTAGAAATAATATGTAGGAGAAATTGTCTCTTTTGCGTTTTTGATAGATATAGCTGCTGAGTTATAAAGCAGGCTATGAAATGTAAAGCTTATTGGTGATTAATAAAATGTTAATTACCTAAAAAAAAAAATTATTTTAGGGATAAATTTGGCTAAGTTCTCACGTCATTCTTAGATCTGATTATTCTCATTGATATAGAGATTATGTATAGCAATAAACGCTCATACTTTCTATAGCTCAACATTGAAAGTCAACACTCAACCACAAACTTCTAATTTGATACTTTCTCCGGTCCAAAATAAATGATTTTTTCGATGTTTTCACACAGATTAAGAAATTCACCTTTTAGTATTAATTAGCAATGAAATTGATCATATTATGTAGGAAAAAAATAATTAATTCATTCTTGGAATCTGAAAAAATCACTTATTTTGGACCACATGGAAAAGACCAAAAAATCACTTATTTTGGACCGAAGAGAGTATCTGTTACATGCAATACCTATTCATCACAGAGATTTATCAATACAAGAACAAAATATAATTTACAAAATACTTTCAAAAGTCGATGGCATTAATAATGTGAGAAAAGTTCAGTCAAAGAGAATTACTTGTGAATCGGAGTTGATCTCAAAACCTTCTCGTAATATAATTATCACTAAGTTAGGAATAATTCTTCACACTTTTAGCATTAACTACCTAAATAACAAGCATGGTCTGCATTAATGTTGATTGGATATTTGAATTTCAATTTAATAATTAGATAAAAGAATATTATATATATATATATATATATATATGTTATTCTTCGGTTAAATAGTTATAGTTTTTTCATGGTTGGTCCGAGCAGACGTGGCACATAACTATTCTAATATGTTTACTTTAAGACGAATGATAAACTTATATATTTTAAATAAAAGCTAGTCCAAAAAATATTCATTTAAATTGAGGATTATATTTGCATATTAGAACCAAATAACGATGTGATATATGGAACTTCATTCATTGACATTAGAGACTTCTACTTTGAAGTCATTATCATTTATTTTCTGGTAACAATAAGTCTAAAACTACCAAATAATTTTTCAAAAAAAGAAGTGACAAAAACATTACTTCCTAAAAAAGATGCTCTTAACTTTCACCCAAAAAAAGATGTTGTATTCACTTAAATTAATTTTTAGTGCGAAACTATGCTTTAATTCTTTTATCTCCTGTCATGCTTACGTGCATCATATAAAATCAAACGATGATGAAGTGACAGATTGTGACGACCCAAAGGGTCATCACCTGTTTTAATTGAATTCTGTGTCTCCGAAGCCTTGAAAATCTCATTTAGAGTTAACTCGGTTTGCGTGCTCAGTCCGGGCGCGTAGCCGGAAAGCTTAAATGTGAAATTCTGTGAAAAAAGCTAAATTTTGATGTTAAAATGAATAAACTTGACTTTGGTCAACATTTTGGGTAAACGGACCCGGACCCATGATTTGACGGTCCCGAAGGGTCCGTAGGAAAATATGAGACTCGGGCGTATGCCCGAAATCAAATTCCGAGGTCCCGAACCCGAGAAATGAATTTTTAAAAGAAATTGTTTTTCTGAAATTGTTAAGGAAAATTGAAATGATATTTGATTGGAACGTGTTCGTATCGGGCCCGTATTTTGGTTCCAGCGCCCGGTACAGGTCTTATATATACTTTAAGTCATTCCTGTGAAATTTGGTTGAAAACGGACGTCATTTGACGTGATTCGGACCTAAATTGGAAAATTTGATATTTTATGAAGTTTGAAAGAATTTTTGGATTTTGAGGTTTAATTCGATGTTTATGATGTTATTTCAGCGATTTGATCGCGCGAATAAGTCCGTAGGATGTTTTTGAGGTTCTGTGTATATTTGGTTGGGAGCCCCGAGGGCTCGGGTGAGTTTTGGATAGGCCACGGGTGCATTTTTGAACTTTGAAAAAATTGCTGGTATTTCTGACCTGCAGGCTTCGCATTGGCTTGCAAATGCGATATCGCAAATGCGAGTGGCCTTTAGCAATTGCGAAGTTAGCCCAGGCCAGCCCTTCTCGCAAATGCGAGGATTAACATCGCAAATGCGATTACCCGGATGTCGCAAATGCGACCTTCATGTCGCAAATGCGAAGGTCTAGTATTTCTTAAGGGTTCGCAAATACGAACCCAGTCTTCACAATTCCCACATCAGCAGGTCGGGGTTCGCACCCCTGTTCGCATTTCCCATAACTGAGACCTGTATTTTACTTAACCGATTTTAAGTCATTTTTCACACCATTTTCAAAACACAACTCCTTTGGGCGATTTTCCAAGAACAAATCTTCTTCCAAATCAATTGTAAGTTATTTTTTACTCATTTCTTTCAATCATTTACATCTTTTAACTTGATTTCAACCTAAAATCAAAGATTTTCATGGGAAAAATTGGGTGTTTTGGGTAGAACCTAGGATTTTCAAAAATTGGGGATTTGAACCTCAATTTGAGGTCCGATTTCAAAATAAATTATATATTTGAGTTCGTGGGGGAATGGGTAATCGGGTTTTGGTTCGAACCTCCGATTTTGACCACGTGGGCCCGGGGGCGATTTTTGGCTTTTTGGGTAAAACTTTGGAAAACTCATTTTCATGCATTAGGGGTCGATTCATTTAGTGTTTATTAATGTAATTAAGTAATTTGTGATTAGATACGAGCGAATTGGAGGTGGAATCACGGGGTAAAGCTATAATTGAGGCTTGAGCTGTGTTCAAGGCATTAAGGTAAGTGTTTGGTTTAACCCTAGCTTGAGGGACTAGGAGTTGAGTCTTATTTGCTAATTGCTTCTTGTTGAGTATGACGTATAGGCATGGTGACGAGTATCCATACGTTGGTGTCGAGCATGACCGTGAGTCTTAAATTGATAGTTGTTGTGTTCTTAAATGACCCTTCGGATGCTTTAAATTGATGACTCTTGATATTGAGTAGAGATTTACTTATTCTCGTGGACTTTATTGATGCTTGAGTACTGGTATTAATCGAGCTGAGTAAGAGTTGAGCTAGGATTTGGTTATAGCTGATTCTCCCTTGCCGGGATGGTTATTTTGATATTATTGTTCCCTTGCCGGGAAAATTTTATTATGTTGCTTTTGTTTTCCTTGCCGGAATTTTATTGTGACTTTGTGTTGATTGAAATGGGAGCGGGTGGTACGCCTAACATAAGTTATTGATTCAAATTGGAGCGGGTGGTATGCCTATCACAAGTTATTGATTTAAATGGGAGCGGGTGGTACCCTACCACAAGATAGTGATTGAAATGGGAGCGGGTGGTACGCCTACCACAAGATAGTGATTGAAATGGGAGCGGGTGATACGCCTACTACAAGATATTGATGAAATGGGAGCGGGTGATACGCCTACCACGAGATTTGATGAAATGGGAGCGGGTGGTACGCCTACCACTGAAACATTGAGAAATGGGATTGGGTTACACGCCTGCAACGAGATGTGTACTGACAGTGAAATCTGCTTTTATTTTCCTTATCCGTGTTAGAGTGAATTTATTGATGCTCCTTATTATTCTCTAGAAAATTCTGTATTATCTGCTATCCCCGAAGCATGTTCCCCTCCCATTTAAAATGTTTATTCTTGTTATTTTCCCGTTGTAGACGTATATATATAACCGCACAAGTTTATTTGGTAGTCCTGTCTAGCCTCGTCACTACTTCGCCGGGGTTAGGCTAGGCATTTACCAGCACATGGGGTCGGTTGTGCTGATACTACACTCTGTGCTC